TACACAATAGAGGAAAAAATTTAAAGGGAAGACCACAAAAAGAACTGAATGGTAACTTCTGACAAAATGGGCAAATGTGAACTACAGTAAGAATAAGAATTTCTGAGGGGGCGGCAATAGTCTTAGAGGCCCCTACATTTTCATGAGCTTTATTTAACTCCAAGAATGGTACAAGACTTCCAAAGTGAAGGTACAAGAAAGATGGCCTTCAGGTACCGGGGGAGGGAGGGGACCGGGGTGGAGGGTTCTGTAGAAGTAAACCTTAATGAATTACACCCAGAGCCTTCTGCATAACACAGGCCTACTCTATTTTTCTTGGTAAGAAGTCTCTCTGGGGAAATGTTTCTCTAATCAGATCAGAGCTACGGCCTGAGTAAGGGTGGGGACATAACTAAGAGTGATGCATCCAATACAAATCCTGCCTAATTACATAATGAATGTAATATAATCCTCCTTAACAGAACCTAAGCCTGGCTCATTAACCATAAGCAGGAGTTAGGCTGTATAACACATTTAGAAATGGAAGATAAGTACATCGGATGGCAAAATAAGAGGGTAACCACATAATTATGAAAATCAGAGCTTGTCCAACTTACACATATTCCAGAGGCATCAGTCAATCCATACCATGTCACAATTATACTTTACACCATGTGAAAATTAACTAAGTGGATCAAAGATCTACATGCAATAGCTAAAATTTAAAAATGTCTTAGAATACTCCTTTGCAATAAAAAAATGAAGCATATAACATACACAGAGCCCAGTGTTTGGAGTAGAAGTTTTTAAAGAAGAAACATCCCCCCCAATTTTTTCTCCCCAAAATTTTAAAGCCTTAAAAAAGTTTTTTTTTAAAGAAGCATCAAAATATTTTTCACATTGAGAGCCATACAAACACAGAAGTAAATCATAACTAGACAGAAATCTTAGAGATAAAACCATACAATCCTTAGAAGAACATACAGGAGGAAATAGTTATGGCATTCAATTAGTTAACTGTTTCTTAGATAT